ATATATATATATTGAATGTCAACCTTCATTTACTTTGATAGCGAGATTCACACCAAGAGGCAACCCAATTGTTCTTGTTGAAACTAAGAGGCAACAACATGCTTTAATCTGGCAAAGCACCAAGGTTGTGTGGAACCTTCTCCCAATCTTCTACCTATCCGAAACTTCTGTCCAAGCCTTTGCCCAGACTGAGGTCTCCTTGGGCTTACAGGAAGGCATGCCAGAGAAGGTAGAGGTATGTTCTCTGGAATAGCTTGCCAAAGTTTGGGGTAAGCCAGGTTGGAGGAGGTGAGTGATACCCTCTTCCCTCCATGGAGCATGCCAAAGCATTTGATGAGTGACCAGCACCTTCTCCAGAGAGAAGCAAAGCAGAGCACCACGGTCACTTCAGTTTGCTTTTGGATGAGCAGGACAACATTATTAATGGGACAGTTTTGAGGGAGAGCTTTATCTGAACCTTATCAGAGTGACACACCCCTTTGAAAATGTGTACAGTCCTACTAACGTGCATCTCTCTCTGCAGCCAAATCTTTAGTTTTTTTGATCAGACATTTATTTTGAAAAAAGGGAGTTTGTATGGCTTCCTTCAGTGTGATTGTTACTGTTCTGATTAGATGGTGCTGTAGTGGGATAATTTAAAAAGATACATATGCTGTCTTTCAAACACTTTTGGAGCAGCATGCACCGAAGATCACAAGACATTTGAATTTGGCACTGAAAAAAATCTGAAACTGATAGGGTTACCGTGCAATGTATGGTATCTAAGTGCCCCTCTCCTACAATGTTGGACACCTATGGAGCCCTTGAATAGGGAAAGCATTCAGCTTCCTTCCCAGATCACTTCTTCTGCAAAATTCCTTTTCCCCAGTGTGTAGAAATAAAAACTCCATGAAAAACCCTTTCCTTCTCTGTTTGGTGGTTTTATGATTTATTAAACAAATTTATAGGGCCACCCATATAACTCTAGGTGGCCATTGGAGATAAAAACAGAATATAGTTATTCAAATCAATTAAGCCCTCCCCCAAACCCCAAGTTGAAGCCTCTGTAAAAATCTCATTATCAATATATGGCCCATACCACATCAGACCTCCATTAACATTTGGGCCCCAAGGCCTGCTGGAAAAAACCAGGTCCTTGGGGCCATC